AACCGAAAGATGGGACTCTACAATTTCAAAGAGAAATCAAAGCCACATGGTCCATGGACGGATGGGTCCAATATGAGCCATGGAAGCAGAAGTCCCAACATCCAGCAGGGGGGAGGGACACAACCATGCTGCTAGTTATGAATAAGGCTGAAACATCTGTACCATCCACCATGAGTCACAGCCAGATGCTCCTGTCTGTGTCAAGGAGCCAAAACTAAGCCATCCACATGAGACTGGGATCCAAGCTTGCACAGTAGGGTATGTAGCGAAGGAGGACAGCTCTGATCTGAGCTCTTGATATGAGCTCTGGTTTAAAAGCACACACCCTTACAGATATAGGGCAGAAGAATACATAAAACTGCATTGAAAATAAGTTACAAACATAAATTAGGGAATACCTGAGGACATCCAATGATTAGACTCGCCCAATAGAAGAATTTATACATAAAGAAATAAAAATGCTAGAGCAATCAGAAAAGGACTTTATGACAAGTATTTTTAAAGTCCTCAAAGAGAGCCAAAACCAGTTTGGCTCAGTGGATAGAGCATTGGTCTGTGGACTGAAAAATCCCAGGTTTGATTCCGGTCAAAGGCATGTACTTTGGTTGTGGGCACATCCCCAGTAGGGGGTGTGCAGGAGGTAGCTGGTCGATGTTTCTCTCTCATCAATGTTTCTAGTTCTCTATCCCTCTCCCTTCCTCTCTGTAAAAAAAAATCAATAAAAAATATTTTTTTAAATCCTCAGAGACAGAGGTAGTATCTACATCCACAAGGTAAGAAGAGTTTTTAATAAAACAAAAAAGGCAGGAAGGCATAAAAAGAAACTAGCTATTTATCTTGAAAATAAAATAAACCTTTGTTGAAATGAAAAACTTAGCAAATAGGCAAAACAATAGACCAGACACAAATGAAAAGAGCTGGTTAACCGGAGTATAGAACTACTGAAGAAACCTTCCCAAACATAGCAGAGAGAAATAAAGAAAGAACTAAGGGACAAAATGTTTAATATACATGGAGGATTGATGGAGTAGCTTCATATGAAGACAATGGAGATCATGTTGGAGAGGAAACATTCAAGATATAATGACTGAGATTTTTTTCCAAAATTAAAGAAAAAAATGAATCTTCTGACTAAAAAAGCCCGCAGAGTGCTAAGTACAATAAAGATAACTATATAAACAATATAATCCTGAATTTATAACTAAATAAACACAGCTTGAAAGAAAATAGACCCAAGTGTCAACAATGGTTACTCCTGATGATAGGATTCAGAGGGAGATTTTTATTTTCTTCTTTAAATTTTAATATAGTTTCTAGGTACTATGTAAAGAAAAGGCATTTGTATAAACTGTCTGTGGAGAAGGAGTATTTGTTATTTCAAATATGCATACACATACTTAAAAAAAATATCTAGAACTTGCACTCTAGTTGAGGAGATGAGGAAATAACATCTAAAGCATTAACCCACCTGGATAGATGTAGTTAACATCTAAGCCTTGCCTTTTTTCCTATGTAGTCGTTAGAAATAAGGGGGACAGAGAAGGAAGAGTTAAGGACACTGAGCAGAAACATATAGGACTGGTGCATATGCTTGATTTATAGGAGATGCTACTGCAACCACCATGTATTCCACTTGGACAGGACCAAAATAGCCAAACCAATATGCGGTTAGAACTTATCTACATCAATCATTTTGCCCACCTCTAACTTAATTATATCTCAAGACCACCCACTGATAGAAGCAGAAATTAACATCTTCTCTGTAAATTCAATTAACACCACAAAAATCTGTCACTTGACACATTTCAATTATTATAAAACTTTCTATTTTTTCCAAGGGCCAGGCAGACTGAGGGGAAGGTAAAATGGTAGGGAAAGGCATTCAATGTGACTGATCATCGAAGTAAGTGCTGTTGTTATCCACGGGGGCTCTATCGAAGCGAAAACACAGCTATGTTCTGGGCTTTACCAAGTGAATGTCATCGTAGGTGGAAGCAGAGGGGCCTTGACAGAGGTTCAGACTTTGTGGCCATAAACACCTCTGGCACACCCGACCAAGCAAGGTGGTCTGTGTTCTTCAGAGCCAAACAAACTGCATTTAACATTCAGCATTCAGCTCCAAAAGAAACAGGTGGCAAAGGCACTAGTCAACTGTGCTATTAACTTAACTAATGGAAAGAAGGGCTGTTCATATCTCAGACAATTCTTTTTTTTTTTTTAAACATATCCGGGTTTTTCAAAATACCACTCTTTAATCCAACCCTTCTCAACATCAGAAGCACATTCCATACATGGGGCCCAACATGGACCCCACATTATCCTTACTGACATATTTGATTCCCTGACATCAAGACCAACTCAGAAAGCCCCAGCAATAAGGAATAGACAATTTCCTTCACCATTTTTGGAGCTTTTGCTCCTCTCTTCTCCATCTCCTCTTAAATCTCTCTCTAATCTTGATTTCTCTGAAAATGTTCTTTCTCATCTCCCTCTTGCCATTTCCTGATTCCCTTTTCTTCTTTTAATCCTCACTCAAGGATTGGTAGTTGTTATAGAGAGAGAAAGAGAGAGGGGGAAAAAATCGATGGGAAAGAAATATTGATTGGTTGCCTTTGGTAATTGCCTTGACCAGGATCCAACCTGCAACTTAGGTATGTGCCTGACCGGGAATTGAACCTGCAATCTTTTGGTGTACTGGGTGACTCTCCAACCAAAGGGCATCCCTTTTCTTTTTTACTCTTAAGTGGGGTCACTCTCTTATCCAATCCCTGGAAGAAATTTTCACTCCATAAAAGAGGAGGATGCTGTTGGACTTCTCAAAGCTCCTTCCCTTATACCCTGTTCAAGAGAGGAGCAGCTGCTGGTAGGAAGTCAGAGCCTGCCATTCACAGTGGGAAGGGTCACTGCCTATCAAGGGAGTGCTCAGCTATGAGCCCATTTGCTGTTCCTGCAGCTTTGCCTACAGTCAGATGTATAAGTCAGGAGAGAGCCTGAGCCACACACCTGCCAGCTCTGACATCCCAGCCTGAGTGAGCCTCCAGCCACCTTCGCCAATTCAGCTTTTATCAGATTTCTCCACTGATTGTGCTGGGCCCTAGTCAACCCAGAAATTTCACTCCCAATATGGCTATTGTTTTCTGTGTATTACTCCTTTCGTCAAAACTTCAGAAGGGAAGAGGTGTTGGTAGTAACATTTAGATAGTAAAATCCCTGCTGGAAACTTCAGTTCCCCTCCTTTTTAATATCTTCATCAGAAGGCTGGTCATTCCTGCTAGTCACTTGATGTGCAAGCTCTGTGGGATCTGATTTGCTGCACCTTTCCATGGCTCAGAACTTCCCATAAAATGAAATTCCTTGACCCTCCTGAAGATGGGATGACAAAGTTAAAGAATAGGCTTGACTTTGGTAGAATGTGAGATCATAGCTTGGGACCAAAAAACCAGCGATCTAGTTCCATCACCCATTGTGTGGTCTTGGCCAAGTCTTGAACGGCCCTACGCCTCAGTCACTTCATCTGAAAGTTGAGGGTGTTTTAGACTCTAAGTCCCTTTCCAGTTCTGAAATGGCCCATACCTTTGTGGCAGGGCACAGCTGTTCCCTTACTTTTTTTCACGCCAGTAAAGAACCCCAAAACTGAAAGGTGGCTGGGAAAATGCTCAACCCCACGTAGGAATTTTGCTAGGCTGCAAACCATTTTAAATGAATATTTAATAAGATACCGCATCAGTTATGTACTTGGGCTGAATGTACTGCAGCCCAGGAGACATGAAAGAATTAATACAGTTCCCAAAAGAGCTGGTGGGAATTGCTGAGGCAGAGGCAGAATCTGATTTGATGAATTGGATATAAAAGCGCTTTGAGAGCATCAGAAGGAGAGAAAGCGCTATGACACATCTCTGCTCGCTCCATGAAGGTATCTTCTACTACCTAAGGAACACTCTCCAAGAAGGTCTCAGGGCCGGGGACCATGGCACACAAGTACATTTACCATTTCCTCCCCACCTTCCTGACTCCCTTTCCCTTGCTGGATTAAGCAGAGCTGTATTCCCCCACACTCTATCTAATCCTTCCCTTTTTTCTCTCTCCTCTGTTAGCTTCTAACTACTGTCTTCAATCCTTCCACTTCTGCACGATTCTCAAAACAAGCCCTCCTGATATCTCACTCAAATCTCCAAGTCTCTCTTCCCTCTTCTCCCAAACAATGCTCCCATCGGGTCCACAGAAAGACCCTCCCTACTCATCCTAAGCCAAGAAATGTGGACACACCTTTCTTCATTCTGACATTCACAGACCTCAGTACCAAACCCCATCCTTGGGTGCTAACCCCTGCGTCTGAGGGCCTCCCAGCTCCACCCCAGGAACATGAGGAAAGCATCAGGCCCTCCATGCTCTGGGTCTGCAGTCCGTTCTCCTCTCCACTCACACCCACGCCGCTAGAGGAACACACTGTTGTGGCCATTAGGGCTTCTCAAACTTTCCACCCTTCTCGGGGCTGCTGAAATAAGACGTTTTTCTGTTCTTTTGTGCTTTACCTAAAAAGTTTGCTTTTTGTTCCACGGCACACCCACGTTGAATCCTTTTTGAAATAGTTTTAGTCACCGCAAGAGGGAAAAAAAAAATGGGCATTTTTCCACAAAGCAACCTGGTAAAATTGACATTATAGAAATGTAAGCCATGTTGTTTCAAGTGGCCCCAGGCTTGCATCTGTAAACTGCTTAGAAATCTCCAAGCATTCCACCACCCTATGACACTTCTGTGTTTTCCAAGTTCTTCCCGGCACTCCCAAAAGTGCCTCTCTGAGTACCCCACTTTCAGACCCAAGACGAAAAGCATTTCCATTCATTTCTGGGCTGGAGAGGTGGGACCTGGTTCTCACCAGGATCCGTAGCCAGGACCCTCTGTCATAGCAAGAAGATACCAGGGGCTCCCGAAGACCTTGGGTGGCTGTCCTATGACTAGCGCACTCCGTAGTCCTGACAGACCACCGCTTCTGGCCTTACCTTATCAGCCATGATCATAGATGCGCCCCCGTGGATGCCCAGGATGGGGATGAAGGTCTGTGAGGAGATAAAATCCAGCATCTGGGCCACGGCCTCCTGGTCGGTGTCGTCCCCAAACACCAGGCCGTGGATGCGCGCCCCGGACATGAGGTCACACACATGTGTGATGAGGCTCTTGGGGTCCGTGCGGTTCATCAGCAGTGCCACCACGTTCACGTCCAGGGGCAGCCCAGTCGCCTGCTCCGGGCCCCACAGGTTCCGCAGTTCACGTTCTGTCATGTCGTGGCTGTGACCCAGCAGCACCGCGATGTTCAGCGCCGGGGTACCCTTCTCCGCCGCCGCACCCTGCGCCGGATGGCGCCAGACCAGAAGTGCTGGCAGCACCAGCAGGGTCCAATACCCCAGTCTGCCCATAGTTGCCACTTAGGGTCCCTGCAAGGTGGAGAGGGAGAGTCAAGGCTGCGAGGAGCAAGGGTTCCAGACCCCCCCTCTTGCCTGAGCGCAAGTAGAGAGCCCACCCGAAGCTCAAGCTGCCCCAGTCACCTACTCCATTCCCGATCCCCGACGCCATCCACGTTACTAGACTCATTGCCAACTCTATCCAACTCCGACCCGAGCTAATTCTCCAGCCCTGCAGGTAAGCCCATCTTCTCATCCACCCTCCTTCTCATGCCCCAGGCTCCAGCTTAGTCTCCGTGCCCGACTCTGCCCACATCTCCCACCGAATCCCCCAAGTTAGTTGAGGACCATCACCGCGCTGGAGCGTAGGCGCCCAGAGCAAACCTGTCACCCACTCCTCTCCCACGCCGGCTAGAGCGGACCAAGTTAGGGAACCCGCCCCCCTGCTCACAGGGAGCGAACTACAGAGCCGCCAGGCGTGGGAAGGCGGCGCAGAGACTAGGGAACCTGGCTCCCGCGTTCCGGCGAACTGACCCCGCCCCCTGCGAACGCGCGGGACGCAGCGCAAACGGGGCTCCCGGCGGCCCCCGCTGCGACCCCGTTCCTCTCCTGCCCACGCCCCCCCCCAAACGCTTGGGACTGAGAACTCTCCCTTATGCATTCCAGTCTCTGGGGCGCCTGAAGGAACTTGGGCCCGCCCCTCCTCCCGCTGCGGGGCCCTGAAAAAAAGTGACCCCAGGACCAGCCCTGCACGCACAGGTTCACACGCGTTCTCTTTCACGCGCGCTGTGTGCAATGCAGAATTCCGGAGAAAAGGTCCTCCGCGGGCCTGTGCGTGGGAGCTGGCAAAAGAAAAACGTGCGTGGGGCTAAAGGTAGGCTCCTGAGAAGCTCTCCGACCGACATAAACTGTGCAGCCCTCCCCCAGGCTTTCCACTGCAGATCCTGTTACCGAGTCTTAGGTGCACGTGGGCAGTGGGGCTCCACTCGCTCACAGGCACGCGCGCGTTTCTGCGCACAACCACGGGCCACCGTAATGGTGCCAGCAGCCATCCGGAGTCCGTACATGGACTCAGGCGGTGCACACATATGCTCCGCTCCAGGTACACAGGCGCGCGTGCCTGCAAATGCTAGCACAGTCGTGCACGCGTGTACAGGCGCGCGCCCTGGAGCCGGGCATTGCCTGAGCCCGGGGAAGTTGGGGAGAACTCGCACCGACCTCAGAGCTCTGTGGGTGAGCACTGCGGTGCCGCAGCGCCCCCTGCTGCGAGAGAGGAGCTACTGCACCTAGCTACCGATCCTCCCTCGCCCGCTTTCTCTCTCCCTCTCCCTAGACCTTTCTCCCACTCCCGCTCAGGTCGAGTCTTCCTCCTCCTCCTCCCCATCCCGCCAAGCCCGAGTCTCCCGCTGGGACGTACCTGTAGCCGGAGAAGGTCGAGGATGCAGTGGGGCGCGCTGCGCGCACGAGCATCTCGGCCGCCTCAGCAGCCACCGGGTTTAGCGGGTTTCCGCATGCTGCGGCCCCCGCGCGCTCCCCTGGCTGTCCCGCGCTGCCCGCATCGCCCCCACGGGGGGCGGCTATCCCAGCCGGCGGCTCTGCAGCAGGGCTCTAGGAAGGCGGGGAAGAGACGGGTCAGCCCACGGGTCAGGAGAGCTGGACGGGGGTGGGGGTGTCGGGCTGCAGTCTGCAATGCTCACAGCCCCTATGTGCACCCAGGGGGCTCGCCAGAAAAGGGGGAACTGAACCTCCGTGACCAAGACGCCCCCAGATCGAATCCTCATACCCTGTGGCCCATATGGAGAGCTTCTCTCCAGAGCGCACAGGAGCCCCAATTTATCCACCCACGAGAAGCTAACTGGGCACCTCCGCGCTCACCCCCTACCACCTCCCCAGCGCCGGCTGCTGGGAGTTGTGCGGCCAGGAGCTGCTGAAGAGGGGGAGGGGAAAAGAAGGGGGTATGGCTGAGTTTGCGTTGAGCCGGCAGGAGGAGAGGGGGAGGGAAAAGGACACGGGCTCCCGCGGTCCCGGATCCCGGAGGGAGGTGCGATCATTCCCATACAACGACTCTCTTGCGGTCCTGACGCCCACCTCTATCTATCCAGGCCATCCACTGACCTCTTCCTAAGGGGGCCCCGCGTCCCGCGCCAGCACTCACCGCAGCCTCTCTCCACATAGTTCTCAGCAGTGGCCGCTCCTGATCATCTCCAGGGCTGATGGCTGCAGCCGCGACTCTCAGTGCTCACCCGGCCCCATGCTCGGGCTCAGCCTTGGGCGCCTCCCACGGAGAGCTGGAGCTCGGCTTCCAGCCCCACTCCCGACAGCAGCTTCCCAGTCCTCTGAGCGCGCCCGGGAGACCTCCTCGCAGCCCAGGCTCCGGGCTGGTGCGTGCGAGGACGAGTGTGTGTGAGAGTGAGTGTGGGAGCGCGCGCGCGCCTGTAACCGGGGATCCCCGCGGTCCGCGGCCCAAAGAGATGCGGGAGGAGGGGGGGGGGCAGCTCCCACCGGTCCCTTCGTTGCGGGGCCAGCTCCGCGCCAGGCGTTCAGCTCCCCACTTCGCGGCGGGAGTCCCGAGAGCACCTGATCACCCCGGTTCACAGCACTGGGGAAACCGGGCTCCCAGGGCGTGCTTCTGCTGCGGTCGCCTCGGAAAAAGAGGAGGAGGAAGACAGGGGCGCCTCCACGCCAACTTGGGGACTTGTTCCCAGTCGGTGAGACGCAGCAGCCCCCGCGAAAGCCGGAGAGGCTTGGAGCTTCGTCGGGCGAAGGCGTCTCCCGCCCGCAGCGGCTCTCCCAGGAGGCGGGCCGAGACAGACCCCGCAGTCCCTTGGCGGCGGCGCGGAGCGCTGCCACCCGCTCCCGGAGCGCACGCTGGCGACAAGGCCAGGATAGGTGGCTGGCTGGCAGCGGGGGCGCCTGCGGTGGCGCGCGCCGCTATCCGTGGTGCTGAAACCACGCTCTACGCCCGCTCCTGGGCGTCTGGTGCAGCTAAGAATCAATTATTCAGAGCTCCTCTGGTGCAGCTTCTTCCTCCCCCGTGCCTTGCGCTGAGTACAGCAATCCCCCCTCCACGCACAGACTCTCTCTCTCTCTCTCTCTCTCTCTCTCTCTCTCTCTCTCTCTCTCTCTCTCTCTCTCTCTCTCTCTCTCTCTCTCTCTCTCTCCCCTCTCGTTCCAATGCTTCTCCCTATGCCTTGCCACCCACGCCAGTGCGGAAACCCACTCCTCTGATCTCAGGGAGCCAGAATCTGAAAAGTACAGACATCTTGACATTCCCCACTTGCTTTCTTCTTGTTTTATAAGTTATATCAAATGAAAATCGCCCCGAGGCCGCTACTTCTAAGCTCCCAGCAGAGGTGAGCCAGAGAGCAGGGGACTGCCTGGATGTGTGGGGCCTGGTTAACTTGAATTCTGGCCACTGGGCATGAAAAGCATTGTCAAAGGAGGATTATTGCCCCTTTTAATGCTCTACTATTTCTCTCCTTCCAGTTCTCATCTTTGCTTTTCTCCTCTCATGCCCTGAAAGAAAAGAGGCCTTAAGTCGTAAGAGATTGTGCAGTCACTGTTCCAACCCTGCATCCTCCACTTATCAGCTATATATCACTTTTGAGCTAGTGATTTATCCTTCTTTTTTGATTGCTAATCTGGAAAATGGGCTGGCAGTAAAAATATCCACTTCTCATGGTTATTTTTTTAAATTAAATGTATTGGGGTGACTCTGGTCCACATCTCAGTGTTGTTTTAAAAAGAAAGTGACATAACCTTGGTGAGCAAGCCAACAAGGTTTAGCACATAGTAGGTGCTCAATAAATATGACGTCTCTTCAAGGTGGCCTAGCAAGGAAAGGACTTCTTCCAAGAATGCAGATGTGGCTACTGAAATGGAGACAGGAAGGAGGCACAGTTCCTGGACACCAATGGGTTTATTATGAAGCTGGTTGTCGTATGTTGAATTTTCTAGAGTTTGTTATCCAAAAGGCAGAGAAAGGATGGAGAATTATGGAAGATGAGTGAAAATGAAGGGTTTTGTGACATGTGGCATCAAATAGGGATGTGGTCTCTTTTTTGAGGCTGTCATTGGGCTGAGCGGGATTAGGCCCTTCCCTTGTGTGGAGAGGATCATTTCTTGGACTTTGGTACAGGACCCTAATTTGGGGACTCACAGGGCAAGTAGGCTTTTTTTTTTAATGAAGTATAAATTATATACAATGAAATTCTCTTCTCTTGAGGATTCAGTTCAAGTTTTAAAATTGTTTGACTATGTGTGGACCATCACTCACAACAATGTACAGAATATTTTGATCACCCCCAGAAAGTACATTTATACCTTTTCATGATTAATTTCACTCCCCTCCAATAGAAACTGCAATCTTTATTTCTTTTTAAAATTTTTTTCTTTATTAAGGTATTACATATGTGTTCTTATCTCCACATTGTCTCCCCCCCGCCTCCACCCTCACTTATGCCCTCACCTCCTTGGTATCTGTATCCATTGGTTATGCTTATATGCATGCATATAAGTCCTTTGGTTGATCTCTTGCCCTTACTCTCACCCTTCCCTACCTTCCCTCTGAGGTTTGATGGTCTGATCGATGCTACTCTATTTCTGGATCTGTTTTTGTTCATCACTTTGTGTTGTTCATTATATTCCATAAATGAGTGAGATCATGTGATATTTATCTTTGACTGGCTTATTTCACTTAGCATAATGCTGTTCAGTTCCATCCATGCTGTTGCAAATGGTATGAATTCCTTCCTTTTTACCACAGCATAGTATTCCATTATCTAGATGTACCAGTTTTCTAATTCACTCATCTGCTGATGGGCACTTATCCATAGGCTGTTTCCAGATCTTAGCTATGGTAAATTGTGCTGCTATAAACATAGGGGTGCATATATCCTTTCTGATTGGTATTTCTCCTTTTTGTCTAATTGCTATGGCTAGAACTTCCAGAACTATGTCAAACAGGAGTGGTAGAGGTGGGCATCCCTGTCTCATTCCTGTTCTTAGGTGAAGTG